TCACTGCCTCACCATAAAAACCAAAATCATGTTCTTCTGTTGTCATGGTCCTCTCTACCCTTCTGTACGCTTGTAAGACTTGGACTTTGTGCCATCGGGACATCAAACATCTAGAGCGGTTCCAGCAAACAAAGTTGGGAGAACTGCATTACCAACAACAAAGTTCTCTCTCAGGCATCTCTCCCCAACATTGAAGCTACCATACGTCAACATCGCCTCTGCTGGGCGGGTCACATGTCCAGAATGCGCCCCGCTCGACTCCCACGTATCATCCTGTTTGGAGAAATCACAAGAGGCTACACAAAGGCCCAAAATGACACTTCAAGGATCAGTTGAAGACAGGTGAACATCGACCCTGGTACCTGGGAAACCATTGCTGTGAATCAGCCTTCCTGGCATAGGACCATCCAAGGGGGGTGATTGAGACTTTCAAGTACAATCATCAATGTGAAGAGGATCTGTGACATTCTGTCAGGAGGGCCCGACATGTGATCAGTAACAACTTCAACACATGCAGTTAGAGACAAATTATTCAATTGCAATTATTCCAATATCTTATATAGGGTGTTCCAATAACTTGGACTGATTTTAATTGTGAATTAAGTTTAAGTGATTTTTTTCTTTTTCTTTCAGATTTAACAATAAGTCTTTGTTAATCTTTCCATGATTGAAATTGCCAATCATACAATGTGTTAAAGTTTCAAGAGTGCAATTGGAAAAAATGTTTGTAAATACAAACAAACTGGGTCAGTGGCAGTTGTGAAAACACCATTGCATGCTCGTTTACGCCATTCAGCTGAAAACATTGCTGCAGTGCACGAAAATGTGGCCGAAATTCCAGACCCCTCTATTCATCATTGCGTTAGGAATTGAACCTCTCCACAACAATGTTACATCATTTCCAATTGCACTCTCGGTTGGTCGATTATGTTAACCAAACAAAATAGCAAAATGCATTTCTGTTTGAATGTCCATTTTTGTAATAGGCTTTGATAACTTTAACACGTTGTTTGATTGTTAATTCTTCCATCGTTGAAATTGCCAAAGACTTAAGTTGTTGGTTTACATTTTTTTTTTTTTTAAATTTTGAATAAAAAGGTTGTTCACATTTATTTCTTTATGAAATGGCAAATAATAAATCTTTATATAGGGCAAATAATAACTAGTTTATTATACTTAGTTTATATATTTTTATAATCTTGTAAAACAACATTGTTGAAGGATTGAAGGTGGTACAAAATAATAGCGGGGGGGGGGGAACTGTCTTTTTCACGCACTGTTTTTATTTTGTGGACACAAAAGTTAAACCTTGGCAATTTTTTAAAAATTTATTTCTGAAGAAAATGATTACCTGTAAATCTGATATTAGAATCAGATTTACAGGTAATAATTAAAATCAGTAATCAGTAGAATTAAACAAAATTAGGTACTTTTAAAAAAAAAAAAAATGTAATCCTAAGAGGGAATGGGGTGATAATGATGATGTCATTGAGGAAATTCTTGGCAAAGAATGCCCACCTCACATAAAACAGACTTCACAGTGTTAAAAGTTTCACAATGCCAAGATACTTCAAAGATGTCATTGATTGCTGTTGCGACAATAGCAAAACGTCAATGACTACGTGGCTGTCAAGCTGATAACAAGCATGAATGACTGCAAGTATCAGATTTACAAAAATTTAATTGGAATTATAAGCTTAATCTATTTTCAATTTTAAAACAACTTGGTTGGGAAGTATCAAAAAAATATGATTTCTCACTTAGTACCAGCCACGGAAAAGAGACCCCTACACAATCACTGCCTAACTGTTTCACTGACTGCTCAATATTTCTCTGACTGCCCCCTTCACTCACTGTCTGATTCATTATATGGATACTGACTGGGGGACTTACCACCACTTTCTGTCCATTCGTGTTTCAGCAACTGGAAAGGGGAACACTCAAACAGGTTTTGGGTGGACGGTTTTTGCAAAGGACCCTATTTTTATAGCTATCTAGAATCACTAACAAAATTTTACATTTGTCAATTCATAGGTGGACTGGAGACATGATTCCTGAAAAATTCTGGTCATTAAATTGACTTAAAAGGGAAAAGAATCAATCTATTTATCTATCTATACTGGTGAAAATAAATTTAAGACCAATGCTTAAAGCTTTATTCTTTTCAGAATATGTTTCTAATAAAACAATAGAAATTAGTTTTTATTTTGTACACTTTATGCAGAATTTATTTCTCTTTCGATTGATGTAAAAGTTGCATATTTTTCTACAACTTGAAAAATTTACAAAACCAATAAATTTAGCCCGATTATATGATTATATTAAGCAAATATGGTGGAGCATTCCAAATGATTTTGTGCTCACTTATCAAGCTTGATGACTAGGCGATGTGAAGCTGTAATTAATAATAAAGATTACGGCACTAAATATTGACAAATATTTTGGGGTTTTTTTTTTTTTTTTTTGCTCATTTTAATTATAACTTTCTGCTTTTAATATAATAATACCCATGTGGTTTTAAACTTATTTTGCCAGCCAATTTGGATAATTTAAATTAATGCAGCATTAAAATTTTTCAAATTGTAGAAAAATATACAATTTTTCAAATTTTAGAAAAATATACATATTCATTCGAAAGAGAAATAAATTCTGCATAAAGCATACACAATAAAACTAATTTATATTGTTTTATTAGAAACATATTCTGAAATGAATAAAACGTTAACCATCAGTCTTAAACTTATTTTCATCAGTGTATCTATCTATTCATCTCCTAAGATTGTGTGAGAAATCATATTGCTACAAGAGGAGTTGGCCCTGTGACTTTCAGAAGTCTTCTGATTTTTGTATTTGGACAGTTTATGGTTTGTCATAAACCTCATCATACGATTTTGGAATGTTTTAATTTTCTTTAATGATTCTTTAATCCAGTTGACACACCACTCAAAACAATAAAGTACCACAAGCAATATATAGATGTTAAAAATTTTAAACTTGATATGATATGGAAGACATTTTGATATTAGTGCAAGCTTGTTATTTGCAAAACAGCCCTCCCCATTTCAATTCTATATTAAATTACAATCATTTTTTCATGACAGTTTGTATCCTAGATATATGAATTAAGATACTTGTTTAATTTTTTAAATTAGTTTCATGTTACTGTAAAACTGCTAGGTCTTTGTACATTTCTTTTGGGGTCAGCGTCTTTTTAAACGATGCATAGAAATTTTTTTATTTCCTTTGTTTATTTATTCTTATAGAAGAAAGGAAAAATTACTTTTTTTTTTTTTTTTTTTGTTCAACACAAGACTGGATTTTTTTAAAAGAGTCTCACCCTACACATATCAAGTATTAGGTTAATTTTTACAAGTCAGGTTTGACCTAAAAAGGAGTATTGCTACTGTTTATTTGCTTTTTGTTTTCTATCTTCTCCAATAACACACCAGTGGAATCTAATATATATCCCTAGTTATTATATGCTTTGCTATTTGGATATTATAGTCAATGTTTTGACCGCTGTATACTCTGGCCTTCATTAGGTGTCTATCTTCATATTTTGTAACCTTCCTTGAATCAAACTAAGCATTTTTCCAAGAACTTTGTGGAACAGATTCTCATATGGGCCCTTCCCTGAACATGACATTCTTAACTTTTTCAAGTCAACAATCATTTGTTATCTATCCTTCTTATCCTCATAATCTTCACTTCTTACCATCTCCTCTTACATTCTTATGACTTATCATTTGTCATTACCATTTTAACAGTAACTCTTGCTTTTGAGTATCTCTTGAGCCTGGTGCTGAGTGAACTTTAGTAGAAAAAGAATTTTGGTTTGACAGGTGTGCCAGTGATCTACTTAGTTTAGTGATTGGACTGCAGATGTACATTTCAAACTTACATCATTTTGATTGTGATAAAATACAGCATGTAGGATGAGTCTACTAGACATACACATACATGAATATACATAATCATTTGAATCTCAACAAACTAGAATTATGATACTTATACACATGAACATTGCTTGACAAAACAGATGCACTTGAGATCTTAACCAATGGAAAACAAACAACACTTAAAATGAAAAATACCAGAATTTTCTTTTTCTCTTCCATATTTCATTCTCTGGTGAAGCTTTAATAAAAGTGAAACATGTTAGATTTATAAATGTTTGCTATTTGTTCCTTATCCTATCATATATATATATATATATATATATATATATATATATATATATATATATATAATATATAATTAAACACTAATATTCCATGGTCATATTTTATTCCATTGGAATCGTAAATACAATCCAATTCATCAGACAATAACGTTCAGTACTTATAGAAAGTTGACTGAAGAATGCGCTAACTTTCAAATTTAAATTTTACAGTTACTACTGTTGATTTTTTTGGGAAATTCTCTACATGTAATTCAAATAATTGTGTTTGTAGCTTTTAAATTTAAATCAGTTACAATAGTCTGCTGAGAGAGACAAAAGTTATCTCCCTTTGACTAACCCTTTAAAACGCTAAAAATAGATATATAGATAGTTACGTGAACTGCCCGAGGGATCGTTAGGCGCAAAAGTCAAACATTCTCTTTGGTCCCTGGCAGTCAAACTAGAAAGACATAATTATTCATGCTCGTGACAATCAGCATAAGATAAGTACTAAAGATTACCTTTTTTTTTTTTTTTTCAGATATCAAATCTCTTACAAAAACACATACACATCTTGTATGAACATTCATATATATATATATATATATATATATATATATATATATATATATATTCAATTGCTTTTATATGAAGACTTTTGAGGTTATTTTAAACATTTTTTATATGTTTATGTTGTATTGCTATTCGCTTTGTTAATGAAACCAATAGCACATTTTCTTGCACAACAAATCAATATTGTCAGTTCTCTATAACCACAGAAAAGCCAAATAATCATGTATTTTAAATATTTGACAGGTCTATTCAATTGTTGGTGACCATGTATTCTGAGTGGGCCTCTCTCCATCGTGAGATTCAATGTGACAAGGCCAACCAGAGTGTCCTTCACAAGTTTCCAGAATTTGCTGGCAAGGAGATTGCTTGCTCTGTTGTGAAGCATCTTGCAAAGACATTCTCAACTCCATCATCAAATGCGGACCTACAAGATGATAAAGATGTCAAGTGGACAATGGAGGTAATTCTTTTTTTTTTTCGTGTCTCTTTAATTTAATTTGTTTTTTTGTTTTGTTTTGTTTTTTTTTTGTTTTTTTGACGTTATAAATTTCAAATCATGATAATTGTAAATAATTCATTTAGAATAAAATTGTCCTATATGGAGTTGTATCCTGATGAGTTCTCAAGGATAAATATAAACTACAGATGTTATGAAAATAATGTAAACAGGTAAATATTAAAATCAATCATGCTTTCTTTTTACTATTCAGTGTCAACTAGTATATTTTAAAAAGTTACTTTCCTCCTTTTATATGTGTTTGTAAATGTTTGTATGTTTAGTTCCCAATGCTGGTGTTTGTAGAGCGAGTAGATATGGTCAAATGCAAAATAAGTGACAGAACTGTCCTACAAAGAGAATCAACAAAGTTTGCAATAAGCAATAAACAAGGAAAAGAAAAGAACAGGGCAAAAAATAATACAAAACAAGCAAACAATATATGTAAGGCAAATTAACAGTAATAAGGCAAAGCAACAGTAATATGACAAAAACTTAAACTAAGAATTGGGGTTGGCACACAAAAGCAAGTTCAGACAAGCAAACGTATTATTCTGACGACAAGACAGACTGGGACTGAGTCAGATGAAACTGAGAACTGGCCTATTTAATTGGCTAGAAATAAATCCCAGCATGCATTTGTGTGCTTCTGCCTATAAATTGAGGAGGGGCAAGTGTCTTCCCACTTGGATTGGAATCAAATCTATGTTACTTTTACTTATTCAATATATGCAAGGCAAATTAACAGTAAATATGACAAAAAGTTCACAAATTAAAAATTGGCATTGACACATGAAAGCAAGTTCAGACAAGTGAATGTAGCATTCTGACTTCAAGACAAGACAGACTGAGACTGTGTCAGATGAAACCAAGAACCTGCCTATTTTATTGGCTAGGAAAAAAAAAAGAGGCACACATGTAACTATAAGAGAAAATAATGACATAATCAGTATTCCTAACTACTTTGTACAAAAAGTTAGGAAAAAAGTCCTCCTCCATCAATACTAGAAAGATTAATAACAGTGTACCTGAGAAGCCTACATTTTGATTTTCATATTTTATTAAGATTTTACTATTATTTGATTTACATTAGGTACCTCTAAAGATCCGTGATACCTAAGGTTTAAAATGAATTTTTTAAAATGAAAAATCTTTCTTGGAGTGTCATTTTTGTTTTAATTTCTAACTAATAGATTAAATTTAATATTTCCAATAAGCTAAATATTTTGTTGTATTTCAAAACTAATTTAAATTGTCTGGAAGGAGTTTTTGTTTTTGAATTAATAGCATTTACTGATTTTAGCACCATTTTTAGCCATCTGTCAATACAATGTAATTCTCTTTATTAAATCTTTCAAAAATATACTTTTCTGAAACTTTATTTGAGAAATATTAGCTGATTTAATGTTTAATTAATATGATTTGAAACAAATATTACTTACTTGAAATTTAAAATATTAAAGAAATGCATTTTTTTAACATGGTGGTAGCTGTTTATTTTAGGTGTTGACAGCTTGAATGACAAATGGAAGTTTATCTAATGTTTTTCTATAGTGGATATATCTGTAAAATTTACTTGAAGAATATAAGGTGAATGCCATTTTTATATAATTTTTTTTATCTACCCAGTAATCTTGAAAATTTAGGAAAATATTCTCTGTAATCTGACGTTTTATTGAATTTTAGGAACTTTTGCTTTCAATTTACTCTAGTTACTGCTCTTATTTTCTGATAATGTCCTGTATTGATATCAATGTTTACAAAAATCAGTGTTTATACGCTAAAAAAAACTAAAAATCTTTTTAAAATATTGGTGTTCAATTTATTGTTCTAAGCTTTTCTATTTATGATTAGTAAATATAGATTTTACCTAATAACAATATCCCCTAAAAGGCACAAAGTAATTCAGAAATTTAAAAGATTTAAAACTTTATAAATTATTCTAATTAAAAATTTAAAATAAAAAACAATTATTGTAAAAATTCATTATTCATCAAAAAAATTTTTTTCTGAAGACTATAGTGTTCATAATATGTTTTATTCATAAAAGCAATTAAAAGCTTTTCTAATTAAATAATGTCTTAGTCTTATGGTATTTTTTATTTTACAATTCAGAGCAGATTTTTGCTAACTAAGGGTCTGTTTTACAAAAATAAATTGACTATTTAAATTCTTGAAGTTCTTCTTTTAACTAATATAGACATTAAGTTCTACAAAATTTAATTTCTCGAAATTTCATAAAATTAAGTGTGTGGAGGGATAACAGATATAAAAAAAATTATTTTTACCAAGACTTTCTTAAAAAAAAAATTTTTTTTTAATAATTTTATTCATTTGTGAATAAGTCCTGAATGTTTCTTTAAAATCCAATAATTATTTGATTTTTGCAAGAATTTCCAATTTAATGTATTTTTCACCACAAAAAACATGCTAAAACTTCCTATGCTAATCTTTGGCCACCATGCTGATGCAAAAAATAAACAAGATTTTTAACCAAAATTTCAAACATTCAAAATCAAAAGATAATTTAATAATCAAAAAATACTTTGGTCTTTCATCTGAATAACAATGAAGATTTTGAAGATAAAACTTTGTTTTTCTTAAATTTGTGGCATTTTTCATTGATGTATACTAATTTTTCAGCAAATCAGTGTTGATACCTAATTTACATATGAGTTTTGAATTATATTTTTCCATTTATTATTATGGCACTGTGTTCTTTCACAGTCAGTCTGTTTTTATCTCATAGTTTCATAAATCTGTTAGAACAATTCACTAGTGACAAAAGAAACTGCTATTTGACATTGCCAATACAGGGAAGATAACTCTAATATGGCAAAAGATTTCAGACATTACAGACAAAAAAGCCAATTAGTTGTACTTTTTAACCCATTTCCTCCTATCTAAACTATAATTATAAACCATTATTTTGGAAAGTGTAAATGTTGGATATTTTAATGACACTCCCCAAAGTTATAGTGTTAACAATAATAAATATACAAAGAAGAGATTTGAGAATCCAAACAATAGCGGATATGTTTATGACTCTCCTCAAATTTAAGTTAACAACAGCAAATATACAAAGAAGATATTTGAGCATCCAAACAAGAGTGGATATGTTCCTTATGTGCTTGATTAAATGCTTACTGTACAGTTTATTATTCACTAAATAGTAACTTTAAATTGCTTTGAGTAAAGGAAGACATAAGATAGGACTTAGCATATAAACAAATAATAATGTTTGACTGATATATAAACCTTCATTCTACATTCAAGACTAAAGACATTATATTTTTTCCTTCTTTTTAATTGTGATAATTATCAATTACAGGTGTTGTGTTTTGGGCTGAGTCTACCACTGACTGAACATGAAGCCATTCGTGACTGTGTAAATATTTATTGTGATTGGCTGACTGCACTTACCACTCCTTTAGAAAGTGTTCCAAAGCCCATCATTGAAAATCCCAACCTCTACTCAAGGGAAATCATTCATCATCTTCTCAATCTGTTTGTACCCAGAGATGGATCAAGTAAGTTACAAAAAAAAAAAAAAAATAGAGAACAAATATACAGTAGTCAGAAGGAAGAAGCTGTTATTTGTAGACAAATTGACTTTCAGTTGATGTAATTGCAAGTTGGTACTCTTCTTTCAGAAGGGAAATCTAGACAACTCTGAATTCAAAACCTCCTACCAACATGTCTGAGTAAGGCCCATTATTCCAGATGTCTGAATGACATTGGTGAAAAGCTTGAGTCTTGCAGTGATCAGAGAAAATGACTGATAATATCTAAATAATGGTTATATGTAGGCATAAAAATAAATATCTGTTGAAAAATGTTGAATTGATTTTGGTAACTGCCACCACTTCTCATGTATACACTATATATTTTTTAATTTTTTTTTTTTTTATTCTTCTTATATTTTTTTTCATTTAACCTTGTTTTTATCTATTCATTTATTTTTCCACATCAAAATGGACTACTTCATTATCTTGCCCATAAAGAAATATTAGGTTGGACTGTTTTAATTTGTACCTGATGATTGCTATATGCTTGAAACTTCAGGTAGCATTGAATAGTGAGGAACAAATATATAATTATTCTTAGTATAAATTGTTTGCTCTGTTATTTTACATTGAGCACTGATTTATTATTACTACCTGCACTCATTGTGTAATATATATAAACGCATTTTTAGTGGCCACCCATGTTTGAAATAGATGCCTCACTTCCCATTTTTATTTTAAACTGTTTATTACATCTATCGACCTACACACTCAAGAAACTTTAATAAAGAAAATGTGCTCTACAGCTGAGTTTGAACCTGTGCTCCCCTTTGTGGGATAAACTTTCTTTAGATCCACCATTCTTTATTAAGTTTTCTCACATGCACGGGCCTGAAGGCATAATACACACTGTTTAAAATAAAAAATAATAGTGGAACCTCAATTTCAAACAACAATAACTCTTTTATATATATATATATATGTATATATAGTTTTAAGGTGTGCATAGATAAAGTGCTCAATATCAGAGATGGAGCGTATGTAAATGTAAAAGTGAACATTGAAGTCAACATTCGGAGGTGACAGGCTGTTTCATGCTGGATGCAATCATACCACTAATCATTGCAGCCTGACGATTGTGTCCAGCATGAAACAGCCTGTCGCCTCTGAGTGTTGACTTCAATGTTCACTTTTACATTTTTTTATATATATATATATATATATACACACACACACACACACACACACACACACTATACATATGCTGTCAAAAAAAAGCAGCAATTATTAGGAAGTTTTAATAGTGAAATACAATGAAACAAAAGTTTTGAGATTTAATAAAGCAGAAATAATTCATAACTAAAATATAGGCCAATGAACCATTAATTAATTCATTCCCTTTATATTTTTTAGACGTCCAGTGATATCGATGATTCATTGATTACTCTTGGTATTATATAAATCGATTTTTTTCTCAATACGTTTTCATGTTAAAAAGTATGGGTTTTAATATAACAGTGAAATAGAAATATCTCTCAAAAGAAAAAGATTAGCAACAGAATGGCAATGACAAAGCCTATTTCAAGACCAAGTTGAAGCAAGACAATCACTTAATAGACAAAGGTATATGATTACCTCACATAAATGGCTTGAACAAATAAGACTGCAATCTAAGAAACATAGGAGTAAAGGAACTGATTAATTAAACCATTCATTTTGTTCAGGAACTAATTTTGTCTAAATGCAGATAAATATTTTATTTGTATATATTATTAAAACAACTAAGGGAAGTAAACTCTCATAAATTTACTAAGCTAAATTGATTTACCTCCCTTGCCACTACAGATGGGACAGGGGCTATATAAAAAATACACATTGATAATTATTATATGATGATGGTATTTGAAATTTATATGTGACTTGCCATGAAATTAACATTTCCACTGCTTAAACTTAGATTGCATGCTCTCAAATATTTATAAATATATTTTCAAGGTCTTACAAAACATACAAAATAGCCTGTTTATGTCGTAAACTTACCAGAAGTTAGTGCTATTTCCAAACCAGCGTAAGTGATATTTTGCATTAGGACACTTGTTTGACTGAGAGTGTATCCAATTGAAAGCAAAAAGGCGACACCCATAAGAAATACTCAAACAAATTGATGAAATCTTTTCCCAAAATGGAACAGCAAAGCCAGGCAACAATGCTACAGCAATGCATTAGTGAAAGTACTAAGTAGCAGATACTCTTTTCTGCTATGATTTGAAGAGATGATTGGTAAAAGCTGATTTATTAGTGGTTCTTAACATTTTCTTCTTCAAAAGTTTTCATGTTTCATTATGAGACACCCCCCAAAAAAATGGTAAAATAAATATTACCAAATTGACCACCAGATTTAATAGAAAAACTTTCTACTACCAAAAAAGAAATGTAAGATTAACCTCTGTAATGCATGCTTTGTTAGAATGTGGTCAATATCTGGATGAAGGAGTGCAGGGGGGTGATTATCTCCCTTTAAGTAGGGCGAATTCACGGTGGTCACATGATAGCTGGTGAGTGATATCAGCTTTTGTTGTGATGAACCACAGTTGCTTTGTAGACGTCAAGGAAGAGAGATATGATAGCTCAGTGCAGTAAAGAGAATGAATAGAAACCAGATAGTCCCAGCAGGGGACATAAGACACCTCTGGCCTCTCAGTTTTCGCCCTTTCACACCGCTTGTTTTATCCATATGTGCTATAGTTTCTTTGTGTGGTACATATAGTGACAAGTATAAACATATTTGTTTATAATTTCTTGTGTGAAATATATAAAATATTTTTGTGTACAATGTGTATTTAGCATTCATTTTATTCAGCTGTTCTACTTCATCCCATTTTGTTGATGTGTTAGTATATCATAGATATACTAATGTCTGTTATGGAGCATTGGAGACTGGAAATAACCAACATATGCATTCCCTATTTCCAAGTATATTTAAGGGTATTAAGAATAAAAAAATTTTTTTTTTCAGATACATGTATAAATAATAGTAAAAAAACAAAATATCTGCATAACAACTACTATTTCAAAAACAGCAACACTGCCTCCAAAAAGACCTTTCTCAGATGCTGCTGCATAGTTTGTTTTTTTAATCAATTCATCCCAAGCAAAGCAATAATGTCACTAAGATGCAAGGGGCTACTGGGAGTGAAAGAGAATGAAAAGATTTTAGAAAGAACTGAACCCGATCCTGAACAGGAAACTAAAGATAAACCTCTACTCCTGTTCAAAAGACCAGGGAGGAGTGTGAACCAGATGATAGGCAAACCTTTCTACTCATTTCTTTCTGTCTTTCTTTCTAATTTCTTGTTATTTTACGAATTGGTCAAACCCAGTCAGGCTCCTTTTCTATTTTAGCATTTTGTTTTGTCCTCTACTTTTTTCTTTTTACTTTTTCTTTTTTCTTTTTCTTTTCTTCTTCTTTTGTTTTGTTAATCCATTCTTCCTAAGCAAAGTGATAATGTCACTAAGATGCAAAGGGTTACTGGGAGCGAAAGAGAATGAAAAGACTTTAGAAGGAACTGGAAACCCATTTCTAAACACATTATCACTAACCCAAGACACCCCAACAGTACTTTACATTACCAAGCTTCATTTTCTATTTTAGTGTAAAAGCAACAGTTTATTCAGAATGTTGTTTACAGTCCATGTTTAGTTAGTTATGTGAAGTTCTGGTTGATGATAAAACCCTATTTTAGTCAGAAATATATTAATAGTTCAGCTATGTCTTGATGCCACCTTCTCACACCTTGGTTAATGTAATATTGACCGAAAAGAAAAAAAACGACGGTCCAAATCTACTGTAATGTCCCAGTCTGTGCAGCTGCCAAGCAGTGCAGTATTTGCATTAGTCGGACTATTGTCCTCATCTTTGTCGCCATATTTGTCACAACGTTTCAGTTTCAAGGACACATGGCACAGTGGATAAAGGCGTTGGTTAGATCCAGTGACAGACCCAAAGAATGTGAGTTCGATACCCGGTTAAGGCAGTGGAGAACTTTCAGAGGGAAAATTAGCAGGAGATAACTGATAACGGATATCCATCAAACATGTCACGTGGAACTAGAACAGTCTACCCCAGTGATCGAAATAAAGGGTTCAGTTTGAAATTCCAACCACCTGAAGAAGGCCGGAGCGTACAACGGCCAAAATGTTGTGACAAATATGGCGACAAAGATGAGGACAATAGTCTTAATAATGTAAATACTGTACATAATACCTCATCTCAGAAATATAGACAGACTCTGCCAAGCAGTGATTTGTTCTTTTTTGTGAACGTATTTCCAACAATATTTCCTTCTTTGACATTATTTATCTTTACTGTTGTGCTAGAAAATTTTATTGGCAACCAAGTCTACCCCCGAAAAAAAACTGCAGTTTGCTCCAGGAACATCTTCTGCCTCGTCAGTGATGAATCTAAAGCAGGGGTGGCCAACCTTTTGATTCCATGCGCCAATATTTTGTACGATTAATTTAAATGCGCCACACAAACATTCACTTCCTTTCAGTACATGTTGTAATATGGACATAAAGTTATGATAAAATCTATTTATTTGAAAAATATATGCTTATGACCAAGGGCGTATCCAGGAGTTTTGAAAGGGGGGGGATCAGTCAATGCTTTGAAATGAATGAGTAGAAGTGGCTTAGTTTCTTTTCATCAAAAGGATGCAATGCGCCACAGGTTGGCCATCCTTGATCTAAAGCAACATGATCGCCTAAACGTGTATCACGTATGGCGCTTAACTGACTAAAGGGAAGTAATCATGTATTAATTTATTAAAACTGCTGATTTGCTTCCCTTACCATTATATTTTTACGTTGGAATGAATATTTAATTTCCATGAAAAATCACTTCTTTGATCTTATTTTGTACCTTTATGTACTTAGATTAACTTTATATATTCTATGGATCATAGCCCGTCTTCATGTCAAGTTTGTTTGAAATCAATCCAATAATTTCGGAGGTTTATAGCTGATAAACAGACAATTTTATAGAATATGGTAGTTTGATTTTATTATTTCCATGATTATTTGCATCATTTTTACATGTCTAATATTTTAAAGATGATGTAAATTAACAGAAAAAATCTAAAAAAAAAATCAGAAGAATTTAACCTTTTTGTTTTTGTTATTGTCTTTTCTATCACTATTTTCTTTCACCAATAGGCGTAGACCTCGTGAAGCGTCAATCTGCATTGTGTCAGCGAGTGTTACGAAGCATTGAGAATGTGGCCCTGGAATCAGCCCTCCTTACCAGAGACACTTGGGAGACTCTGTTGAAGTTTCTGCTGGCTGCCAATGACAGCCTCTTGGCGCCACCTGCTGAAAAAGGTACATGAAACCTTTCAATCACCTACAAGAATCATATATCAATATCTTCTTTTTTTTTTTTTTTTCCACTTGTAACTCATTAGATTTTTTATTATGTATTTTTAATAATCTACATTATATTTCATTGTAGAATTCTCTCCTCAAACTGGTAAGCTATATTTCCTGGACATGTATTGAACTTCCTCCCCCACCCCTTTTTTAAAAAAAATCAATATTAATCTACGAAAACTAATGTCACCATCACCAGGATGTAGTTCTATTTTGCCAACTTCTGCTAATTGTGAAAACTGGTCCGATGACTTTGCTGTCTTTGAGCTGATTAACGTTTGATTACTGCTATCACATTAATCAGAATCATAACTGTTCCTAAGTTGTGTCAGAAAAAAAATCAACAATAATACAAAATCACAAGAATCAATAAATCAATCAACAGAGCTGCACTTGTGAAATAAGCAACTGCTGCACTATTGCAACTATTACATTTCAAAAAGAATCAAATCAAGTTTGTTACTTTTGAAAAATTAGGTATGATTTTTCTTCCTGTTTTATTATTATAACATTTAAAATGAAAAGAAATAGTTAATTGAATTTCTCCATGTCTCTCAATGATAAGCTGATTTAAATTACAACTAAAATTAATAATTTCTAGTTTTCTTGTTTTGGGAGTCAACACATGTTCATTCTGTTGTAAGATGAGTAGACATTAGAAAAATGTCAATTCATCTTCCTTAGACATTGTTAAAGGCAAAAATGTTGAAATAGCTTCAAGAGATTATTAGAAGCATATCATTGCAAAAAGTAAAGTATAAAGCTATTTAGAAATGTCAGAGAGCTAAAAAGATCTACTCAACAAGTGTATATTAGGCTATGTTTTTATTCTTTTTTAATTTTAGTTACACTTTCAGAAACCTTTCTGAATATCATTATATAAACATAAAAAAGATAAATTCTTGAACTAAGTTGAGAATTCAATTGTTTTCCCAAGAGAATGCAAATATTTCTATAAAATTGTGCCAGTTTAAAATGGATAACAGAGTTTTATAATAGCGTCTATGATCAGAAATAATCAGTTTTTTCAAATTATTTTTTTTCATATTATTACAGATTATGCACTTCAGATCATAAATATTAAAAAATTAAAGTTTAATTAATTTTATAAAAGTTAATAGGGGGTCCAGTTTGCTATATAAATTCATTATAAATTGATTCCCCCCTATAGAAGCCAAAACAAATATACTCATATGACAAAAAAATAAAGAGCTATATATATATACAATAAATCAATAAAAGTTTATCTTCTTGACTGGCTTGAGAGTTTCACATCAAAATGCTCATCAGGGACAGATTCTTGATAATATAGAACAGTGTTTCTCCACCTTTTTAAACAACAGCACACTAAGGAGTAAATGGAAATATCACAGCAGACTTAGCAAAATTTTTAAATGGCATAAATTTAAATGTGATGAAATAAAACCATAAATTTTGAATTAAACAAGGAATATTGAATACAATTATATGAAAAAAAAGGTTAATATTCATTTATTCAAATAAAGGAAAAAACTTTAAAGTTAAATTAAAAAAATAAAATACATTTTAAAAAATGAATATTAAAATAAAGTATTTAAAATAACATCGAAGTATATTGAAAACAATTATTTGGAAAAAGTTTAATACTTAATCATTTATTCAAATACTAACTGTTAAATAATGTAAGAATCTATTGTACATAAGAAAAAATATTAAAATATTGTATGAAAAACAATTCAACATTCTATACTTATTCAAAACTTTTGTTTCCGATATGAAGCAGCCTTTTAAATAAACAACAAAATAACCAGAATTTTTCTTCAGCTACGTTCTGATAATATTTAGTAATGTTTAAGTATTTACAAATATTTAATACTTACAACAAAAATCTTGGAAATTCCCTCAGAGATGGAAATCAATAATCAAGTGTAGATCTTAGAATCAAAAATCAAATTAAATGTTATACATTTATAGAAATTAATAAGAATTTTCAGAACATTTGTAAGGGTAAGAAAAATGTGTGTGATGTATTTTTTTTTATTAATTATTCCAAAGTGAATTATAATGTGTTATATTTGTATATCTGGTAAGTTGTTTTTAAATTACCAGTTGCATAGAAAGTGCATGGCATTTTAATAATAAAGAAATGCATCCATCTTTTAAATCTGTAATTTTAATATTGATATCAAGGTGACATGAATAAAACGTTATCTTTGCCACACTTGTGTCATTGCAGTTATTGTAGCTTAGAGTTTATAAAATTCTAATTTACTTTAGAGTAGTTTTTTTATAACAATAGATTTCTTGTGAAAAGTTGACAGTTTAGTCAAAACAAATTGAATCTTGAGGAAGAAAAAAAAAAAAAAAAACAAACCTACCCATGCACTAAAAAACCTTGCTAAACAACTAATCTCCAGCAGCTCACTTGATGTGGGTGAGCAATTGTGACTGCTTCGCATGTAGAAGCTAAAAGATATCCACTCAAAAAGATGCTAAAACGAACATGGCATGTGTTTCTTCAAATGCATGGATACTTGTGTAAGCATGCTCCTTAATGTTTTTTTTAATGACTTTGTGTATGACTAACGGATAAATTCAGCAAATTAAATGCATATTCTAAATACACAACACAATGAAATATTCAACTTCAAAAACAGTATTTAGGAACAATATTTCAGGAATAATCTAAAAGATTTTTCATATTTAGCAACAAAATACCCTAAAATCTTTATATATAAATAAAGTGCAGTGTATGTACATCTATCTGTCCATCGATCTGAGCAAATCATCAACAACCTGAAGTAACATATAGCAACTACTGTAGTTACACACAATTAAAAATTAAATAAAAAAACTCATTTAAAGTTAAATTTAAATATTGAACAGAGTGAAAGGTTTAAAAAATAACTCTTTATTAAATGTTTAACTTTAATTTTGCTTTTCGTCACAACTGCAATTAATAACGTCTAATTTTAAAACTGTAATTAGAACTTAAGTGTGGCATGGTACATTGCTCATATGTTTTTTTTTCTTTTTCTAGCAAATGTATTGTGACGTATTCAAAATTTGACATAGTTTGGGTTCCCTAATGTCTTTTAAAAGTGACTTTGTGAAGGTATCATAAAGAATGGTGATTTTAAAAGAAAATAAAAATTACACATAAAATAAATGTAAACAAACTACTGAGATCAATTCTGTACACAAAGAAAGATTATACCAAATTAAGATGACAAATAAAAATAAAATAATTCTATTATTTCTAAATTCTTATAACTTCTACGTACATAGGACATTGAAGGTAAATGGCCAAAGGTGCAAAAGCCCTCCATAGGAGCTAGCCTAAAGTCCACCTGAAGGGAAGCTTCTAGGCTAATGTTTGATATTTCAGAGTTGATTTTTTTATACTTGGAAAAAGTGTACATGTATAAATATTTTTACATTACAGACAGAAAATATGGGGTCACCCTACATTTTTCTAAAAACACTTTAAAATGAGATATTTTTGAATTTTTTTAAAGTAAAAGATTATATTTCAGTAGCAACAATGTACTTGCTTTCATTTTGACAAAAAAATAAGCACTTAACTATAAAAAAAATTATCATACAACATCATATTTTGTTTTCATCAATAAATCCATGACCTGCCTCAACTACTGCTTTACAAATTCTTGGCATTTTTTTCCAAAAGTTTTTGAAAAAAGTAAGTGGTAGGCCTTCCCAAGCATTCTTCAAGCACTGAAAAAGCTCACTCTTACTCTTTGGGTATTCTCTTCAAACTCTCCTATTCAATTCATCTCATACAAATTCAATGGGAAAGAAGTCAATAGATTGAGGCAGCTGAGTCATAATTTCAAAAATTTTGTTCCATTTTTTTGACTCTAGGTAATTTTAACATAATTTAGAAGAGTGGTGTGGATTGTTTTTTTGTTAAAAGGTGAATTTTTTATCCAATTATACGTAAACCAGATGGTATAGCATGTCTTTGCAAAATCAAATGATATTGTTCTTTTTTCATGATTCACTTGACCTGAATCAAATCTCCAACCTTCTCTCCAATGAAACACCCCCGCACCATAACAGACCCACCACCATTCCTAAAGGAGAAAACTGGGTAAAATAGCATGATAACTGAATATTGAAAAAATGTCAAAATGTATTGTGGACAGACCTGTCCAAATTTGAACTTTTTGGTAGTAAGTGTATATAAGAAGAAAGCTAGGAGAAAGATTGAATGATGTATGTGTGGTTCCAACAGTTAAGTGTCTTTTACTTTACAAAAATACAACAATATAACATTTTAAGTTGTTTTTTTTTTTTTGTTTTTTTTTTTAAAGAAATGCAAGATGTACATTGAGAGAGTTTATTCTTAATATTTAAATCATCCATGTATTCTTATGTATATTAACTGTCAACTCCTTTGTGGAGTGTAGGGCTACAGCCTTGCCACACAAGAATTGCTTGTCAATGGTTTCTGTAGTAATGAATGAGAAAACAAAGTCTTACCTTGAAAAAGAATTTGTGTTCCTTGTGCTCTCTGTCAAAAAATAAAATCAGAATCAAGACCAAATCAGTGTTAGTAGACCTACCTTGAATTCTGGTAATTGTTTACACCTCCCTACCAGTCTCAATCGGTCACAACCTTTCTTACCCCAATAAAAGAATGCTACTTTGGACCACAGGATTGCTCAGCTCTTTGTGGATAAAGTAAGTAGCTCTTATGATGTACACTACATTTTCTGGTGTTTGACTTGCGAGACTGATTTATGACCTCTAGAAATACAACCTCAGGCTTATGCTTTTTTTGATCTGAACCCTCCTATTTCTATTTACCTCAGTTTCTGTAATAAGTAGATTTTTTACAGGGTGGAGTTACTAGCCTCATGTCCCACTGGTTTTGAATTCAAAGTTGTCCTTCTCCAAGACTTGTTGCCAACTAGGGCTAGGCAGCTCAACCTGTTCTTCTATTAACCCCCAGCAAGGGGAAGAAAAGATGGATTCATACCTTTCCCCCAGGGTGTTTGTGTGAAAGCGAATACAGTATCCCTGTCTGGAATTTGAACTCAACACCCCAATCAGATTATCTGTGCTGATAAACGCTTTTCTATGCAACATCTTCATTTTCATTAGATTCTCTTAAAATATATTTCAAATAATGAAACGGGATAATCACATGTTAGACCCAAATTATAGAAATAATTTTTAATTATTCTTATTGTATTCATATTAGGCCCCTAAAACTGTTACTTGTATTGCAGTATAATGGTCAACAATCCAAACTTGTAGAATATTGTGAGTTTGATTCTCACTGTGTGCCTCCATACGTGTAGTCTTGTAATAAAACTAAACTCAGCTGTGTAACTATTAGTGTTACAGATTGAGCTTTTATCTGTCCTTGGACAGAGTTGTCTACCCTTAGTTTTGTGGGGGAACTACCAAGTAGGTGGCTGCATTTGATCATTCAATAAATAGTGCATGTTTCCAGAAGGAAATTAACTTTTTATGAAAATGGCCATTTCTTTTCTGTCAAATCGAAAGTCAAATGACATATGTGGTACACACTTGGACAATCACATCTATTTCAGTTCATGACTGACTAGGCAGAAGATTTCCCACAGTAGGCTGCCATTTCTTTCTGCAGTAGACTGGTTGCCAACTAAGGCTATAGGAACCAGTCTGTCCTACTGTTTAGCCTGTAGCTAGTGGGGGCGGGGAGATAGATTCATACCTTTCCCAAAAGTATTTGTGCATAAGTGAATGTAACAAACCCAACTGGAACCCAAACAATCTCCCCCATGGACTAAATAAAAGGTTCAATTTGAAATTCTATTGTATATTACCCAAAGAAGCCTGGAGCATACAACAGCTGAAACGTCATCAATATGGCAATAAAGTCTGATCAATGTAAATAGTGTAAATAGTTACAATACCTCATCTCAGAAATATAAACAGAGATTAAATAACTGTCTCTATTACAGTTCATATATATTAGTATTTGATATCATGAAACTAGTATCAAGCCATAAGAAATAGTCTAGTTTGATTGTGAGTTTAAAATTTGATTTAAATTTCCATAACTTTCAAAAACAGGAAATAATAGAAATCTACAATATAGTTATTTACACTATTTACATTCGGACTATTGTCCTCATCTTTGTTGTTGTTATCACTATGTTTTGGCTGTTGTGCCCTCTGTCGCTTGTCAGGTGTATATCAGTCCAGGTAACTGACAGGGAATTCTGAACTGAATCCTTTATTTAATCTACAAAGGTAGTCTAGGGACATCTCGTTCATTTCTTATTTTTAGTAATGCTCAGTTACTGCCCATACCATTTCCACTGAGTCCAAATACATACTGCCCGGCCAAGGGATTGAACTCACAATTATAATGTCACCAAATTCATGAACCAACACTTTATTCCACCAGCCTATTGTCCCTTTGCATAGTTTGGTAACATAGTTATTATGAGGACAATCCCTGGACTGTACAGTGTATACATGTATTCAGTGAAAACAAACAAGCAATAACTGTGCAGCACTAAAAATAAGAATTAGATGAGATATCCTTAGACATGAGCAATAGAATGAGAACAATCTACCCTTGAAGATTAAATAAAGGGTTCAGTTTGGAATTCTCTGTAAGTTATCTGGATCGACATACACCTGATGAAGGCCGGAGAGCACAATGACTGAAACATTGTAATAACAAAAACAAAAATGTGAGCAATAGTGTAAATAATCATAACTCCTCCTCCTAGAAATTCAGACAGAAACAACGAAGATGAGGACAATAGTTCGAATGTAAATAGTGTAAATAATGATAACTCCTCATCCTAGAAATTCAGACAGAACTCTACAATATAGTTTGGATAAGATTGTTTTAAAAATGATCAGGTTAAGCAACAGTGGTTTGTTTCAAATTTAAAAATAAACTAGAATATATGATAGCTATTTCTGAGCCCATCTTTTAATATCAGGAAAATGGCTTTGCACTGGTAATAGTGTCAACATGTTCTATGATTGTCAAATACATTTTAGAATATTCATTTCAGAAACTTATATGAACACTTGATGTTAATAAGAAACTAAAAGACGAATTTAAATCTTGAATCAAAAAGAAACAACCTGGAAAAATATGTTTATTTTTTATTTTTTAATTGACAGTTAAATATTTTATGAGTTACTCTTTTGTCTTAATACATCCCGCATGAAAGAAGATTAATTAATGTTTTTTTCCCCACCATAACTATCAAGTGTCAAATAAACATTGGTACTGAAGATGTTAAAAGGCACAACTGGAAAAGTAAGTTGCACATTGTTCAATTGTATTTAAGCTTTCATATTGTCTATTTAAAAAGCATCTTTAACAGAAAATTTGTTTGTAGTTTGGCATAATAAACTTGTGAAGATTAAAATATTGTGTCTATTAGCAAAATCAAATAACTACAAATTTGATTTCTTCCTCTGATCTCTTGATTTTTCTACTTCCATTATCTACTGCTTTTATTTGGATACTTTGTCACTACTGTAGCCTGTTTACTATTGCATCTGTATGTGCTGGCCATGATTGGCAACTATGATGATCTTAAAGCATGCACTGTTTTTGTATACAGATGACATTGGACTGAGTTCACGTAAGTTTCAGGACTAAACCACTTTCTCTCTCTTTTTCTCTTCATCTCTACCTGTTCTTTTTTTCTTTGTCCTCCATACCTTAATGTGGTTATTGTGGATGTTATTACTGTTGTACCTATTGTTGTTGTGTTCCTCCTTGCTTGCTTTACTTGACCAATGGGTGGCAGATATCACTGCTGGTCACCTGATAAGGCAAGGATACTTGATTGGCACCAAACTGACCATTAGTAAAATTTAGAATCCACCATCTTCTAGTATTAACCTTTATCACTCTGTATGTGACTTCAAAAAGTTTACCCTGCCACTGAAGGTGACTGATCCTTGAAGAATAGTGTTTGAATTTCATAGTTGTGTTGTCATATCCTGCTATGGCAACAGAAAACAACTTTGTGTAAAATTAACAATAAGGAAACTGCAATTGAGAGCCCTTGAAAAAGATTGCAGTGGAAAGAATATTAATAATGCAGAGTGCTGAAGGTTAAAAAAAAAAAAAAAACAGGAAAAAAGAATTTTTAGAAATTATTAGGATCGTAATAAATTAATGTTGATTATATAGAAATCAGTGTCTATTAAAATAGCTTTATCAAACAGAAGAGATATTTTTAAGTATTTTTTCTTGTATGCAAATAACTTTTTGTGGCAGTTGTAGATGTAAATAAAAAATAGCCCAAATTTGTATATAGTCTAAGCTTTCAGCTCACATGAAAAGAAGAGAAAAAAATCAAATGCATTTTAAAACAACACATAATAATATAATAATAATAATAAACCATCTTTATTTAATATCAGATTTTAAAAAAAAATTGCTTTTATTTTCTTTTAACTTTCTCATATCCCTGATGACGACTCATGTGAGCTGAAAGGACTTATACCAATTTTGATTATATTTCACAGCTACATTTCAGATATTAGAAAAAATGATCAATAAATTTAATGGACTTAAATGTCTACTCTTTAATAAAACATGTTTACAAGAACAATTGCTGGCAAAGTAAACTGAATTTAAAGATAGCTTTGTGGCAATTATTATTACTTTCTTAAGTTCTCCAAACAGACAAAAGTTGAAATCTGTAGCAAAATAACAATAACAACTTTGGCTGTTGTCATCCACACTCAGAGCGCAATTACACTGTGACAAATTTATTTGAAATTTACATATATTAAAATTGAGAGCTTATGTGTGTCACTAGAATATTTTTCTTGATGACAGATATTTGAATTATTTTCATCTCCTCAGTCTTAGACTGAAATATTGTATGACATCTTAAAGATACAAATGGTTATACTTTTATCATATGATATTAAGATTGACAAAATCTGTTTTTTCTGTAGAATTATTAGAATTTATCTCCTCCTCCTAAATGAAACAAATTACATAATTTCTCTACAAAAGACTTTATTAAAAATTTACATTTTATATTGCCATCATGCCATCACAGTCACATTAAGTTTGTCTTCGCAATTCACCCCTGAAGTTGATCTCGAAGGAAATCAAAAGTACTTGGCCTTCCTTGATGAATTTCAACTTAACAGCAAGAAGATAATTAGAGAACTATAAAGAATTATTATAAAAATAGACATATGTCTATATTATTTAATGAGACATGCTTGAATGAAGATATGCTATATATATATACACACACACACACATACACAAGTTTAATAACAACATTAAGAAATTGATCCAGGAATTTGAGAGGATTAAAATAAAAACAAATAAACAAAAAGACATAATGTTTAGATTATTCAACCAAATGTTTGCTGCCTAAATATATATATATATATATATATATAGAGAGAGAGAGAGAGAGAGATATGAAGAAATGGTCAACCATATATGTGAGTAATTACATACACATACAGGTGAATAAACAACTATTTATTTAATCAATGGTGGAGACAAAACAGTGCTAAATTTAGTTAAACAGAGCTATAAAGTATATATTAATAATTACACATATATCTACATTCATCCAGTACAAAAAGTTATGAAATCTTCAATAAACGTACCGTAAATGTAGATATATGTAATTATATATATATAAGCACAAAGTCACAAGTCATCATGAACAAGTGTTTGAGCATACTGGCCTTTTACAAACTGTTAATCACAATAGATGATGTGCTCTTTTCAAGTAATTGTAATTAAGATCCACTCAGCATAGTTACAGGTGTGTTCTGTGGGCGTTGCACAAACACAATTTTTTAACATCTTCACATAATTTTTCTGCTTTCAATTATAGAATCCTAGTTCCTTGTAACAAATGTACTAATATAAGTTTGGTGCCAATTATATCTTGATTTTTCAATAATAGTCAAAAGGATTGAAGTCACAATGCAGTCATTAGTGCTAAAATTTTCAACAATGATTGCCAAAAAAAAAGAAAAAAAATGTGAATTGCACTTTACAATAGTAAAAAATTATGATGATATCTTATTTGATTAACCAGTCTTTTAAATTCTCTGATCATGGTAAATTCCATGCCATCTCAAATTTGAGAAATTATAAGCTGTTTCTGTTGTTTTTTTGTTTTTTTTCATACAGACCATTCAAATAGTCTAAGGAAATTAAAACTTTACCAATACTAGATATGAAAAGAAAACTTAGAAAAGATAATTTGCAAATTCACATGTAATTGCAATAATTCATTTGCCAAAAATTCAAGTATATAAGTAAATTTCTTTATAAAATATAAAATGGACACTGAGGTCAACACCTATCAGTGACAGTCTGTTTCATGCAATCTTCAGGCCATATATATATATATATATATATATATATATATATATATATATATATATTTTCAAAGCACCTTGTTTGTCATATTCAATAAAATGTGCATGAAAAAAGATTGCTGCCTAATTACACACAAATAAAAAATATATATATATATATATATATATATATATATATATATATATATATATATATATATATATATATACACCATTGCTCAGGTGCCACATTCACCAATCATTATTCAAATATTCATCTTCCATTTCACATTACTTAGGAAGTGACTCTTTTTTTTTTTTTCTTTCTTTTTAGAAAAGCAACACACAAACATTTATTTTCTCAAAAATAAATGTAACTGTTTATATTTTGCAAGCCTAAACTCTTCAATTTATTCTATTAAAAATATGGCATGTCTAAGAGAACTGAATGCTCAGCCAACTGCTATTATTGAAAAATCACTTCAACCAATTTTAACCTGAAACCTTCTTGTCTCTTGTGGGGTCCAAAGGAACACCATAACTTTTCACTTTCCATTAATCTCTCTTTCTCTCTGTGGGCTCTCAGGTTGGAATGCTCTTGTTTTTTATCACTTTTGTTGTTGTTTATTTTACTGCTCTCTACTCCCCCCTTTCTTTCTTTCTTTCTTTCTTTTTTTTTTTTTTTTCTAAATCTCCACCTAATTCTTAGTTTGTGGCTTTTACTTACACCAAAAATAGTGCACATAGTTTTGTTTTTGTTTCATTTTTATTGTTTTTAGCGGTGATACATAAAATTAAGTCTGAGCTTTTTTTTTTCTTTTTTTCTTTTTTTTTTTGTCATTTATTTTGCACAATTGTTATATGAGGAAGTGCTGAAAAATTTTACAGATTGTACAATTTCCCCAAATTAGTATTTTGATGACAAGACATCAGAATAATGATTTCGGAAGTAAGTCATCCCCCCTTTTGTGTGTGTCTGTGTGTATGGGAAAAACCCTCTGTGGCACATTTTGTCCTTCAAAAAAACTTCAACCTTTTTTTTATTAATGGATCTATATATATATATATATATATATCAAGAGAGAATGAGATAGAAGGACACCAGAAATTGAAAGTTAAGCTTTACTGCATTGACATCATTTTTCTTGATAACTGATATTTGTTATATTTCGTTCCCTACCACTACATATATATGGTCACATTAATAAAAGATTTACTATGAAAAATTCCTTCCCAAGGATGAAATATGTCTCATAGGATTTTTCCCATTTTCTCATTCAGTTACACACTAATAGTTTGATATATAGTTTATATACCATATTCTCACACACACACACACACACACACACACACACACATATATATATATATATATATATATATATATATATATATATATATATATATATAGGAAATTAATCACTCATGCACCTGCTACCATGGTTTCAACCATTTAGGTCTCGTCAGGCAGAACTAGCATCTACTGCCTGACAATACCTAAATGTTTGAAACCATAGTATTGGATCTGTAAGTGATTAACCTTTCTATTTTTTAATATTTAAAAGCTATGCACATTCAACTTTTTGGATAGTGTATGGAGCATTTTTTAATATAACTGTCCCCTGGGCAAACTCAACTCTGACCAACAACCATTTAAATAAATATATATATATATATATATATATATAAGGACTTTAGGTGGGTTAATAAAATTTAAGGAATAAGAAAACAACAATATGATAATAATATTGGCATGATGATATTAATTATGTATTAGCCTTTTGATTAAATTGAAGCATGGAGAGAGGATTTTCTGACTTCAAAATCTTTCTCTTTTTGCTTCAGTTTAGTCAAATGACTAATATATAATTAAATATCATCAATCTTATTGGCCATGTTGTTATTTTGTTTTGTTGGCTTTTTAATCCTCAAATTTTATTAATCAACCTATTAAATCTACATATAAGAAGCACACATGGACCATCTTTCATTTTAATCATACACATATATATATACACACACACACACACACACACACACGCAGAGGGTGTGATGGGTAAATTGTCACCATTTTATATTTTTAATTTCGCACATGCACATTGTTTTTGATTTTATCAACTGCACAGTATAGTAGGATCAGTTTGGAACTGTCTGTGAGAAAAAAGCACCATAACACAATTCACTTCACTAGATATTTGGAAACGGCATGCTGTACTGCTTGGCATTCACATCGGAAAAATATTTCAGAGTGTTTCGGTGTCAATCTAAGGGCAGTGTAGACGAT